CTTTAAACTGGGTTCTAGAAGGAGCGTGTACAACCGTCGGAGGATGGTCATTCCACGCAGCTACTACCCGAAATGAGAAAAAAATTCTGTCTAATGAATGTGTGTGCCCTGAGCTTGAAGATTTTCTTACTATGTCCCCGCCGGGTGTTTGCTGGGTCAACGGTAAAAAACCCGTTTTGCCAAGGTTTGTTCAAACAGGGCGTAAGTAAGAATTAGGTCCCCTCGGAGGCGACGGTACTCCAGGGGAAAGAGATCAAGCATCGCATGGCCAAGTCCATGCTGGTATTCCAGAGGGGGCGACAGCATTGAGCGACCCTCGCCACCAATAACTGACGGCGGGCTGGTCTGTTGTCAAGCAATTACCGCTCGTCCGGAAATCCGAACTGCAAAAGAGCAGTCTATGATCGGTACACAACCGAAGCGGGCGAACTTTATTGTCCGTGTGTCTCGTGTCAATCCCGGGACGACCCCCGAACCGGGCCTCAGCAGTGCTTGGTCCACCTACCTGTCTTTGGCAGATTCAGAGCTACAGTGAGCTGGGGCGTAAGCAGACAATAAACAGGTTGTGATGGACCTCATTTGCTCTAGATTCTTCCACGGGAGTTGCCAAATGAACCGCACAGAGGCGACTGTCAACGGGTAACAGTCAAGTAGAGACGCTTCGCTCGGTCGCTCAATACAATACCCACCCCAGCATATCCAGCTCCAATGGCCTCTGCATCACCAGAGTTGCACAGCCTGAAGCTGGAAGAGGGCGAGGGGACAGTTAGTCCGATCAAAGTACTTGCGTCCTGCAACCTTGTTCCTGACAGACAACATAAACCAATGCAGAGGGAATCAAACATAAAAGAGCTGCTTGGTAACCTGCTTTCTTCAGTGTACGAACAATAAAGGCGGATAAGTAGACAAGCTTTTGGGGTTTCAAAACCGACTCCGAAGTGTTTGGGATTGTTACTAAATTCGGACGAACAGAATCTGCAGCTGAGTATGATGCATGTTAAGCAAAACGGTTAGTCCTAGTGCTGGGATCTGCGGAGAGAATATTCGAATTTGGATGGGATAGGGTGCAAGCGGGAAGACGTAAAAATGTAAGAAGGGAGGCAACAGCGTCGCTTACTCGCCTTGCTGTATGCAGCGGGTAAGGCGCCTCGGCTGGTGACACCACGCGACGACCGATGTGATAAGAGTTCATTTATGTATGTGCAATTCATGTTTATACGTGGGCTTGAATATTGCCAGGGCGCCCAAACATAGACAAGAGGGTCCTCAACCATAGTCGTTTGCTCAAAAGCCTTACAACAAGGTGGCGGCGTTCGGCGGGAAATGCAAGTCCATTACCGTTTTTGTGGAATAGGCCGCCACACATGTTCCAACCCACAACATGGAGGACAGGGAGACTGTGTTCGTCAGACCTCTAACCATTGACCAACCTGGTATGAGAGACTGTGAGTGTCGCGGGGGCACTCCCCAGTATAGCTCAATGGGTCGCTGAGGTGCGCAAACTTCACACCACGGTAAGGTACAGTCTCTTCGTCTCTTCCGTCCTATCCGAGGACTTTAGGCTTCCTGGCTTAGAAGAGTAATATGGCTTCAGTGACTCCGCAATGTAGTGGTGTTCTTTGATGAATGCCAGTCGTCAGAGCAGCATATTAAACTTAGGTTGAGGTGTTTTTGGCATGTGTTACATATGCTCAGTCACCGCCTGCCGAAGAAAGCCTTGTTTCTGTTCGAAGTGATCTGTTCGTGCTGTCATCTCCTAACTGGAATGTCTAGCTGAAGTTTGCCTGTGCGCTTGGCTTATATCGGGTGAGATACGCAAACAGCGCAGAGTCGCCTTTTTGACTGTTTCTGCCTGTTCTGTCTAAACCAGCTGAGTCAACCGTGGTAGCAGGTTCTATCCAAATACGGTTTGGTTACTGGGTGATGTAGTTGAGAGACAGCCAACCGTTGGGCTTACCGTGGGAGAGTAGCAGTTGACGGAGGTCGATTGTGTTGAGTGAAATGAATAGCAAGAGAATTTCCAACTAAGCACTCAAGTGAGAAGCACGCAGAAATTTTGAATAGACACCACAATGCAGAAAGGACGATATGAGTGCATGCAGCGTGAAATCGCTAACTTCCGCTAAAACCTTAATCGGCCGCTACACAATCACTTAGTTTGTCCAACGTATTTGCGGTAGCAAGTACACTGAAATTTGCAAATGCAATAGAATTAGTAGACGGATCTTCTTATTCACATTGGATACTCGTTTTTCCACAGTACGTACTAAATACACTAAATATCATCGTCTAATGATTCTTCACGGAAAATCCGGGTAAGCACTGACCGGGCCCATTCGATCTAAGTGAGCGGCACATAATCCTAGGGACAGCTGATTTTGTGGAGAAAACCCTCTCGCGGTTTCATTCGATGTTTGTTAGCTATTAACCAGCATCACTTGAAGAAAATGTAGGTATAGCATTTAACGCCTCTGTCCGAAATGCGCGCATATCTAGCCTGGCCATTGAGAAGCTCTGAGACTCTGATGTGAAAAAGGCTACCAGAACCACCCACTGAAGCGAGTTGGTTCAGTTTGTAGAGCGCCAATTTACTGACCGGAAGGTCCGTGGTTTGAACCCGACCTCTGCCTCTCGACTTCCCCTGTCTGGGCTTGGGAAACCTGGCAGTATCCCGGCCCTCGTGCTTCCTTCGGGTGGCATGGTAGCTAGGCACCGGAAGGCTGCCACAGCTTAACGCTTTCTGTTTCTTCTTCCCTCCAGGTTAGGGGTTGGAACATGTGGCGGCTTGTTCCGTAAAAATGGTGATGCATTTGCATTTCCCGCCAAAAACCGCATCCTTGCGGTTAGGCTTTTGAGCCAAAGGCTTTGTTTTAGGACTCTAATCGTCCGGCTGTCTACGTTTGGGCGCCCTGACAATATCCCGGCCAACATACAGCCATGACACTTACAACTAATCATCATTTTACGGCAGTTGAGCATCGGTGTTGAGCACTGATGTCATGCGGTCGATGATGATGATGATGAAATTCGCCGATGATGGTAAATGGTTTAGCCTTTTCGGCCAGCGCGATGCTGACGGAAAGTAAAGCGATAACCGGGCTTGCACAGTGACATGATCGGAGTCAAGTTGCGTACCCCAGAACGGCAGCCTTGGGTTGAGGCGCTGATAGCCACACGATCCGGCTGAGTCCATGACTAGTGTACAGTTTGTGACCTCCAACTAAATCGGTGTGAGCGTTTGTGGTGGGAGTTTATGATGACCAGGAACACAGTGTTCAGCAAACAACTGAAGAAGTCGCTTCTCATTATCTATGCACTGGGTATTGACTTCAAGTCTGTTACCCAAGAGTGCTTCTGCCGAGCCTAGGCGTCCAACTTTGGCTTTCTTATCACCCGCGAGGAATACTCTATTCTTGATCCCCCTAAGGTCCTCTACACCAACTTCCGTGGACGCGTGAAGGTCTACGAGAAGCTTTCATCTGATTCCACCACATCAAGGCAAGACTGTCCTCTTTCACCTTTTCTGTTCAATTTCGTCATTGATACGCTTATGGAAGACTCACTACCAGCCTTCAATGCCTGTGGCGTCGAAGTGCTCCCAGGACGTTTGCTCACAAATATAGAGTATGCACGCCATATAGCTCTTCTTGGATCTGGCAATATCAAATAATCTAGGTAATTGTTCTTCACAGTTTGGTGTACGCTTCGCACTTACTAATTGCATAGCGCTGCTGTAAGACTGATTGGACTCGAACACTAGCCTTATGATTACGAATGAACGGATTGAGGTGGTAGATAAATTTGTTTACCTGATAGTCTCGGTAGTCTCGCGAAAATGATATTTCTACCCAGATTTGGAAGGCCGGAGAAGCGTCACCTGTGGATTAGGCCTGACATCAGCTCTTCCGTCAGGGGTCGAATCTGCAATGTTGCGGTGTGCTCAATATTATTATACGTGTCAGAAACCTGTCCACCGCTCGCCGTGGACAGAAAGCTAGTCAAAAGCCTGTCTTTGTTCGGAGCATTGTGCGAGTCTGGTGGGAACACCGGATCAGTAATGCTGAAGTCGATCGAATGGCTTTCCGAAGAAATAACGCCCATGACAGGTGAACTGATCACACTCCATGGGTTTCACTGGCTTTGTGACGTGCTCCGTATGATAGTCGACCGGCTGCCCTCAAGAATGGAAATGAGCCAGAGAAAATCAAACGGTGACATGATAACGAAGTTTGAGAGCTGTTACCAGCAAACTCAGCTGTGGTGGTCATTGACGTTTCCCTAAATGGGGACCCAGCTACGGAACATAATGGTTCGGGAAATTGCCAGACATGTCTCAGTTGTGCTCAGTGGTGCGCATGTCTCCAGGCTTTTATGTCCATTGTGTAGCTTTGCCTCTGGGTCTCCCCAACGAAGAGTCCGCAGACAATCCTATATTTACGCGTCAGTTATACCAGCTACCGTTTCGGATGTGTATCTGTCTATCTCACCTCAGAAAATTATAGGCGAACGAACCTGTGGCAGCTAGAACCAGTTTAAGACAAGTGCGCGGTTTCACAGCGGATGATAACGATGATGATAATTAGGTGATGAAAAAGGGTATGGTAAGCCGCACCACCAGGATTAATCACAGTGTGCCCTGTTTGTACTTGGTGTACTTGGAGGTGAAGGGCACCAGGTTGTACTTCAATTCGCAGCTTGACTGAGACGATCTATTTCTGGGGCAGATTTGGAATAGGCATTAATCGCTGTCAATCCGGTAGTTTCTGACACCACTAACCTCAAGTTACTTCAGCCCACCATTAACTTGACCTCTGATTCCACTTCTCCAGTAAATGCTATACATCCCTTGCTCAACCGTCAATATTTATCTAATAAACCTTGTATTTGTTTCAGCTCCTTGTGTGAGGTTCCTCTAACTGGAACCTCATTAATTTTGGCAACTGTGCCAGGGCTCCATTCAAGGGGCGCGGTTCTTCTGGCAGCCTTGAACAGCATCCACCATGACAACCGTTTCAAAACAGAAAAAAGTGAAAAATGTGAAGCAAAAGCTGAAGCTTTTTCGTGCCAACGAGCCTCTCAAAAGCGTCTTGATGTGGGGGATCAACTATTCGTTTTCTGCACTGAACCATGTTAAGCCCCGGGCAATGCTTTTGAAGGACGATTTCAAGGCGTATATGAAGGTGAAGATTAACAATCATTTATTCAACAAGTAGCTTCAATATTTTTAATGTCTTCCTCTCAGAGAAAATATGCCCAGTCGATTTAAGTTCAAGGAATACTGTCCAATCGTGTTTAAGGCTCTGCGAGCTCGCTTTGGGGTCAATAAACTGGACTACTGGGTAAGTCCGTGACCGCATTTTGTGTTTTGTTTATATCTTTTCAATGAAAATACTGCATTTCGGTCGTTGACAATTTGTTCTATTGTGTACATCTGTCCTATGTTCACACTATACAGTTTGTTCATGTAAGGGCATATCGTGAGTTACCACAACGCTAATGGATCGAAGTTTACTACACAACCACCGTCCACCGATTGAAGCGCTGTTGTTCACGGAGGACTTGTGAACTATTTCTAAAAAATATGTAGACAGATTTGTGGGCTACGAAGCAATAGTTAAGGAAGTAAAATACGTACAAATGGATCAGGTACAAGTTGTAACTCGTTTCAGTCCTTCTCCTCCTTTCGAGAGCTATTTGTAGAATAGTTTGGTAGAATGTGGCCTTCTTGGATGATGCAAGTCATACATGTAAACAGGTCATCGTTCTATCGGAGTTCTTATAAATCAGAGTTACTTGAAGGTCGCACTACCTTCAGCGCCCTATTTTATTATGATCAAAAATGGGGTCTTGTTTAGATGTGTTCTTTTGCCTAACAAAAGGTAAAATCCCCGAAAACGATTTCCCTTCCAGCCATAACCAGTTTGGTCGTTCCTTATAGGTAGCCTCCGCTGGACGAGCCGCCTCATATACAGACATTCAAGGGACTTCTTTTGTCAAGGACAACTGCAGGGACTGGTACAGGAGCCATCTGGGTTAATGCCGTACTGGTTACGTGACTGTCTGCCGCACTATTGTCAGTGCTTCACACTACACTTCCTGAATGCTCCATAAGATTCATACACCCGTGGAATGTTTCTTTGTGATAAGCAAGATGGTTTGGATGCTGCACGCCTGTTCAGCGTGCTGAAATGGATCATTCTTTTCCGGTGGAATAGTGGACATGTGCTTGATTCACTTCACCAATGCACTAGCCTAATACCACATTCATTCTCAGCCGGTGTTTCTCAGCCTGGGGGGATAGAAAACATCAACCATGGAACTATTGCTTGGTCCGATCCGTATGATGCTCGGTTTGGGTACCGATCCTCACGAAATTCGTCTTGTCTTAGGTTTTCTCTAAGTTTTTGTTCTCATTTTTTAATAACAGTGTTGCAAAACACGTTCCACTCCGTTTAGGGATTACCAGTGAGAACTTACAAAATTAGACTGACGTCTGTTGCGAAAATAACCAGCTGTACTTTGTGTGCGCCTTGTTCACGTTGTCCGAAACCCAGGGTCGCACACGCCGCGCGTGTGGGTGTTGCGTGCCTGCTGCAAAGCCAGTCTCAATAAGCTCGTCTCATTTGTTATATCCACAATTTGCCTTGTTGTCCTGGAGCTTTCTATGGAGCCGGAATGGAGATATCAGTTCTCGCTTATCATTTACCGACAGAGTTGTACTTGTTCATCAAACTGATTTTAACTAGTTGTCAACAGTGTGAGAATTCCGCTCCTCTGTTGTTTGGGAAACGGTAACAACGGTATAGCTTGTGCGATCTGCCATTAGCTCAGCCTTCGTTATTCCCTCGGTTGGCGTGGAAGCTAAGCACCAAAATGGTGTAACAGCTGAACTATTATTATTACTATTATTATTTTGTGGTGAGTTGGTTTGAGCACCATCATCATCACTTCTGAACACCTACCCACCAGTGTCTCCTTAGCAAAGCATGAGCTAGCTGACTAGTGTTGCGCGGTTAAATGCTCGGTGCTTGAGGCATGTAGTGTGTATTTCCCACCGCCCGTTCTGAAAAAAACTATTTAAGGGAAGGTCATTGACTGTCCGCGCGAAATGGAAGCGGCACTTCGTTCGCACTGAGTGCTGTGAGATTTGAGCACCTTTGTCCGAGTCCAGACAATTATTTATGAGAAACGTGCAGGACATGATACCAAACTGATCCCAGTGACCCTCATGCTCTCACTGCTCAGCCAGATTACCCATATAGTTTATCCGTCGTTGAACGCGTGGTTCATGTTGGGTGAGGTTTACAAAGTACGCTGCGCCAGTCCAGCTGTCGGTCCTCCGCTTCTATGCGGTGTTCCGATGTTGCTGTTCCAAAGTATAGACACCTTACTCTTGGTCGTTTTCTCTGAGGAAATAAGACATTATTTCAGTCAACCCTCTTCTGAAGCGCTCTTTCCTCATGTTTTTATTGTCCGTTATACTGATGGGGGTAATTGTACCGATCATCGCCAGCTAGAAAATCACAGGCAACACAGTGTTTTTTATTCACTCATTCATCTATGATCCGGCTTCTCGGACCGTTGGGTTTTTGCTAACAAAATCGGAAATCGTCGCACTTAATACGTGTTCCTCAGGTGGTGGTGCCGGTAAAGCTGTGGGGTCGGTTATGGATCAAAGCTAAAATGTAACCTGTTCTACGCTTTCAGGTATTCCATGTTTCCTTGAATAACCCAAAAAGACCACCCGACTAACTGATCTCTCTGTATTAAGGTTGATTCCCTTTGTGGGTCATACTCATAATTCAGCAATTAGGTAACAGCAGGAACCCCTGTACCGCTGTTTACTATTTTGCTGATTTTCGTGTTTCACGAAAGTACACTAGAGGTCATACTTGAAGAATAGGATAACCTTATGGGTTTGTCACCGAACCTATGTATGTGCTACAAAGGTGCATTTTCAGCCTTACTCATGATGAAAGTGAAGAAGCTGTTAGAAATTATTGGTCATCCACATACACCTGAATTTTCATCAGTCGGGTATATGGAAAACATTTCACATTACCTGTCTCCTTCAAAAAGAAGCGTTTATGTCTGGGAGACCGTCTAATAAATCGGACAGGATGAGTTACACATAAGGGTGAGATGACCCAGTGGTTAGAGTGCGAATTCACTGACCGGAAGGTCCGCAGTTCGAACACGGCCTCTGCCTCTTGACTTCCCCTGTCCTAGGTTTGGGCATCATTGCAGTATCCCATCTCTCATACTTCAGGTGGCATGACAGTTAGGCAACGAAAGGGTGCTAAAGATAAATGGCTTTTTTACTCAGGGAGCTCGAGTGACGAGCTTATTGCGACTTCTTTTTAGATTGTCATTTGAAAGCTATAAGGGGTCTTGCCACTCGTATGCAGAAAAATGAGCTTCAGGGCTATTTGACCAGCTATTCTTCTGGATTGTAACTTACATGATCTTGTCCGTGGGTAATCTTTGTGTGTCCCCACCCTCCTATTACTTAGTTAACTACTCACAAGGTTGCTGAAAATTCTTCGACAGCCCATGACAGGTTTCGCTCTTGTTGGGACTTATCAGGTAGGCGAAATCTGCTTGAACTGAAGTTGCACGAGATTGGCGAAGTACACTTATTTGCATAAAGCTTGGTTTTGACGGGAGATTCGCCTGGAACCCAGCTGAATCTCTCGTCTGTGATGTGTTTTTTAAGCAACTGAATGTGCTACACCAGGCCGCTCCATGAGAGGGCGAGATGGCTCAACTGGTCGGAACGCGAATTCACTGACCGGAGCCCCGTGGTTCGAACCCAACCTCAGCCCAACCTTGCCCTGTCTATGTTTGGGCAACTTGGCAGTATGCCAACCCTCGTGCTTCCTTTGAGTGGTATGGCATCTAGGCACCAAAAGTGTTACAGGTGATTAACTGACTGACTGACTGCTTCATGTTTCAGTTTTTACGACATTCGGGATATTGCCATACATGTATAGACTTGAACCCAAAGAGAGATTCAGATGGGTTCCAGGTGAGTTTCTCGCAAAACCAAATTTGTTTGCAAATGGATGTTTTTCGCTAATTTCGTGCAATTTGGGTTCAAGTAAAACAAAGTTGAGGGAAACTCGGGGACTGCGCGTACTTGATGAGCCCCAAGTAGGGCGAAACCGGTCGTGGACTGTTAGAGAATTTTGAGAAATCTTATGATTAGTGTATAACATCTCTACGTGTATCGCGATATCTCGAATATCGTACCAACTGAAACATGATGCGGCCTGGCGCAACACACTCAGTTGCTTAAAAATAGCATAAACGAGAGTTCCAGGTGAGCCTTTCGTAAAGCCAAATTTGCTTGCAAATGAGTGTTTTTCGCCAGTTAACTGTGTGTTCGTGTTATCAGATATGACGACATTTGGTCATTCTGACGCAATAGGTCCAAATCACCGGGGTTGTCCATCATATCGAAACGTTGTTGTTGGGGAATTCCCAGTAGGTAAAGTCACTCTCTATGTGATGTGGATGATGATCACACTGACAGAGAAAGCGTCTCACTGCAACGAAAAGTTCGTTTTGAACGGCGTTCCACTCGCGGTTAAGGAAGCTACGATGCGCGTCATCACTATTGACAACAACGCCAGTGGAGAACGTTGGTGCTTCACTGCCGTACAACCATCGGAAGAAGAAAATTTGATAGGGACGGTGACCTAGTGCTGGTCAACCACAAATATCCGAGGTGCCCACACCTCCAACACAGTCAAAACATCTGGGCAGAAGCAGGCAGCACGAACATTACTGAAATATGTTAGCTGCCATATCGTTCAGGGTCTTGGTATGCGTTGTACAGGGCCCAACCACCTTAACTTGGTCAGATTAGAGTACCATCTGTTTCACCGAAAACCCGTTTCCTGATCACATTATGGCGAGTTCGTTTTTCCCAGCCGATTCCAGCTACAGTTTCGAAGGTGTCCCATATCTTCCGCCAGAGGTGGCCTAGCCTCGTAGCCGTTGAACAATGCAGCTCCTGCTGTAGCCTGATTCACTCGTCCTTTTCTTCATTACCCTAAGTGACCGGTAGGAAAACGTGAGATTTATTACGTAGACTAATTTTTCAAGTAGTTCGGCTGTCGATTCTTGGCGGAGGCTTGCCTTCAGCGTATGGTAGAGGTTGTTCCTGCTCAGCACTTGGTCGAAGTAATCCATCATCAACATCTAGTTACGTCACATTACAACATTTAAATTTTGATGACACTTCGTCCTATTCCATCCTTTGGTATTCTTTCGGTTGCGTTTTTCTCCCTCAACTCGCTTAATTTATGTCCATCGCCTACTTTCACTGTGTGCTTCCACTTTTTCAGGACGCATTCACCGGTCATCAGCCCCTTTGGGATAGCGCTCGTGGCAAATCGGGATCCAAATTTCTTGTCACCTACAATCGACAGTTTGTCGCGAAAACAATTAGTTCTGAGGAAGTGGAACAAATGCACAACCTCCTCGAGGATTACTACGCGGTGAGTGGTTTATTTTTATACTAGTCGGATGAAAGTGAGATACACCGCGTTCATTGCAGTTGGGTGGGCCACCTTATGTCCAAAGGAACTGCATAGTATTCTGTTGAATTCATTTGACGTTGCAGTACATCATTCCAAGATAACCCTGACCAGTAACGCATGACTAATGTGCAGAGGCTTGTTTGTCACTGAGGCAGGGACTGAGCAACTATTAGCCAAAAAGGAGAGGTTCCGCTGCTTGAATACTGCCTTTACATGTGTGAAGGGATTCTTTTTCTCCCCCTATGTGTGTTTGGAAGCCTATTGGACACAACTTCAGCGTTAAAGGTTAAAAGTTAGGTAGAGAAGTGCAGAATTTCAACACAAGGCTTACTCTCGATGAGGATGGTGATGGTGCGAATGATCATTCCAAATAAGTAGCTCCTTAGAAACAACGAAACAAGCGATCTCACCAAAAATTATCTATTACAGCGTGACTACCGTACATTGTTTTTCATTTCGAGAAGTTTTACATCAATGAGGTCTGGTTGGGTTTGTGCGAATTTCCTCGGAATCATGGTTAACTTCGGGTGAAAACAGATCAGGGATATCCGAGTGTGACCTTGTTTTCTTCCAGAACTCGAGTGGAATGAACAGGAAATGGAGCATATCTGTTCTCTTCCTGGTTCGTCTTTTACGTGATCTCTCAGATCTGTATCTTGATCGTTCAAAGGAATACTACTCTCAGTCGAATGATAGTCGACCTGCCTCTCGTTTCGCACCAAACGATTTATCGTGTTGCGGACGCAACACTAAGTTGACCGTTATAGGTAAGACTTGGCTAAGAAGCGTACACAGACATTCATTAATTTGTTTGCTGCTTCTCATTGATAATCGAGATACAAAACCCCTCTGCAACACTCACCTTTTTATTGACAACACCATTTTGCCGTTCCCTCAAATCCATGGTAACAACAGACAGGAAGAATTGGCTACGTTGATTCTTGCAAATTTAGGGAACCAACCTCAATGTAACGTGTGAGTGCATTTTAGTTTACGAGCATGCGCCGAGTTACAACAAACTCTATAGAATCCATATCTCTAAAGCAACCATACTCGTCCAGCCTTCCAGGCTACTTAGGTAGGGGAACACCTCGTGATATATCAAACAAACTTGTACCTGCCCTATACGATATCATATGTTCTCAATCGGAGACGTTGATCCCAAATAAACCTTCTCCAGAAAAAAAGCAAGGTGGTGTTTTCTCAAAACTGTTCTCCGTTCGCAGATTTCCAAGCTTCCAGAGGCATTGCACTTCGATAATCCCACTGTCCGTTCACGACTAGTGCGGTGACTGGTGTGCAGTTCATGCACAATTCTCAGAGAATATGCTCCGATGACTGCTGCCTCAATTTTCTGGCACTTACTCATCATACCGGCATACTTTTCCGTAGTCCGGTCTGCGAGAAGCTCCAACGCTTAGACTCCTGTATTCAGGTTTTTATTCAATAATTCTACGTTATCCGTATCTGGATACGCAAGCATAGAATGAGCAGCTCGTTTTGCCACCTACCAAGGTCATATTTGCAAAGACTACAATTTCTTGTGATTATATTCAAAATTTTCTTGGTTCAGTGTGTATGCCGTTTCTGTCCGTATGCAGCGATTTATTCGATCGATAGTGGGTCATTTGTGTCTCAGACCCAGATTTGCAACAACGACAGAAAAACTCGGTGCCATGTCGAAACGACTAGGGTTTTTCCCAACCAAAACTATCGACCCTTTTGATATCCGTCTTTTCGCGCTTAACTATCTTGTTTCACCACTCACTGTATTGCCGGCTTTACTTTCGTTATCATGTTTCTCGTTTATTTCCAGTACATAGTACACTGTCATGGTCAGACCTTACTGCCTCAGTATCTAGGCCTATATCGGTTGACCGTGAATGACCAAGAAACATATATTCTAGTGATGCGGAACGTATTCAGTCCTCGTCTGACAATTCATAAGAAATACGACCTAAAGGTGAGTTACACCGGGACTACTTCTCTCATGCATTGTGTGTTCAGTGGACATTTACCGTCTTACTTTTCTGATACGTTGCCAAATACATTTATTTCAGTGGTGTAGCCAATCTAAGTCTAGAAGGGTATCATTGAGACGCACCAGTCAGACTTTCCATGGAGCAGCGCCTCCTGCTGCTCCAATCCGCACCGGTGAGCCAGAGGAGATCGAAAGGAGCTACGTGAAGCCATCGCGTAGCTTCAATCGTGGGCGGACGTTCTCGCTTGTACGTTCCCGGTGTGTGTGTGTGTGTCTATATATATGTATGTTTGTGTGCTCAGGTGGGTTTAACTCATTTTTCCTTTGCGGATTTGGTATACAACTCCACGTATGAATTTCGTGTTTTCGTTTGTGCACCACCCATTCACCCAACTCACCTGACCTGCCCATTGATCACTATACTATTCCCTTCTCCCCGACATCTCGAAGATTATTTTTTTCATGTCCAATTCCGCACAGTATGTTTGGCTGCCTATTCTCAGGACCCATTGATTTTTTTCATTTTTCTCACTCCCTTCCACTCACCTATGATTTCGGGCTTTGTGGGACCATCGTTGGTCACAGCGCCTATGTATCTGTGTAAGTCAGTTTCCAAGGCCTACCTCTTATCGTTCTCAGCCACTCACTGGTTCGATCACGTTCCCTATCTCCGTTATCCAAACGTTACTGTGTGCCTGTGTGTCACCTCAGTGTCGCTAATTTCGTGACATTTTCACAGAACCTACTGTCGAAGGGATCCTTCCAGAGTGAGAGTGAGGGTTGTACCCATCAGACTTGTGGTTCTTAACATGATCGTTGCAGTGCGCTAACAAGATGCCAATCAAGTGTTCAAAGTGCGATCATGTTGCTGCCCGTTTTGTGTGGTGGTTTCTTGCCATATCGGTTTTCTTCACCTTGTTTGTTTGTGGGACTCGATAGAGCAGGTTTTTTGCCACTTGTAGTGGTTTCTGTGCTTGGACTTGAGTTATTTCCAGCCCTAAAAATCATCGATCATACATTTATGAGTCGTAATCCGAGACGCTAGTCCTCCCCGTTCCAGATCCCCGACACCGTACTAATAATCAATAATAATACTCCATGATTAGGGTTCTAGTCACTGCAAGAAAAGTCCTTCAGGAGACTCAAGAAATAGACACATGGCATTTCTGTTCCTCTGTTCATGCCTACAGTCCCACTGTTTCCATCCTCATTTGGAACATTTTCCTTCCCTTTCTCGTCCGTTTTAGTGACTCGACTCAGACGTATTTGTCACGTTGTAATCTATTTCACGACTGTTGTGTTTGCTGATTACGAAGTCAGTACAACAATTCCTTTTACATCTTTTGCATCTCGATGCGTGCGTCAGCAGCTTTTCTATAAAGAGGTAGTTCGTCTCATGGTCCTTCGAATGTCACAGGGAAATGGTGCGTCTAGTGTGGGCGGATACATTGGGTTATAAATTCAATGATGCGGCCTTGCGACATAGGTAGGAGTCTCAGTCTGCCTGAATAAGAGGTTAGTCGTCTGATGATGATGAATGTTCTAGTACACTTGGGTTAGCTAAGTTATCTCGGGTGTAGTGCTCCCAAGCGTCTGTTTCAGAAGGAATTGTAGGTTGTAGAGCATGTATCGACATCATCTACGTGAAATGAGTGAGTATACTACGTCGTCAAATTTACCGACATTGGAGGATAGGAAGCATTACTGGGACCATTCAACCAGTTTATTCAGATGTGTTTCGGAACAGAAACCTGTGTAAATGGTCTATCCACCGTATGCGGTGTATTGAATTAGGAAGTCGGGAATGAGAGCAAAGGCAAGACAAGAGGTAAAGTAGATCCTGGAAGAAATGAAGTATCATTGGGAAGTGTAGTGAATTGGTTTCGTGGATTGTGTCCTATCGGTGCGGTAGTTCGGGACCAGCCTGAACGCCCCTATTCTCCTTCGTGAAAGCAGCTCTACGAATTTCTCTTGGTCAAACGTGTTTGTGTATTCCAGAAAGAGCAGTGCTTAAGCCTTTTCATTGGTTTCAAGCGAAGAAGCAACCGTGCTCCCAATGGCGTCCAGCGCGATCATTCACAAGGAAACTGGTGTGGGCTTTCAGTAAACGGATGCTTGGTGTTCCACTCGGGACTTTGTATTATTGTTTAGGGGTATTTTTTTGATAAAGTGACTGATTGAGCAAGGTCATTGAGGACGTCAACGCATGATTGAGGTCACTGATTTTCCCAGACTTTTGAACTACATCACCTACCACATTGACTGTAAGTTTGTACTCTTCATAAATGTTTTTGGGGCATTGGTATTATTGTTAGGGGTATTTTTTTTTGATAAAGTGACTGATTGAGCAAGGTCATTGAGGACGTCAACGCATGATTGAGGTCACTGATTTTCCCAGACTTTTGAACTACATCACCTACCACATTGACTGTAAGTTTGTACTCTTCATAAATGTTTTTGGGGCATTGATAACTTGTCTCGGTTGGATGGATAATTCACTTGCAACAGTCCCGAATCTTAACAAGCCGGCTGCATGAAGTCTATGAACTTTTGGTAGATTTTCTTAGGAACGAACTTCAAATCTACCCAACCGACATAATTACTGTAGTTTTGAAACCTGACCACTAAATCAAGATGGCGGATACTTTTCGGCAGTTTTTGGGTAATCAGCGTGCATAAGTTGGGAACCGTCCTCTTGACACGGCTAATCCCCTAGATTGATGTGCATTTAGGTCTATTTGTCGAATTTCCCATCCTTGCAGCCTTTTCGTGAAGTCTCTGGTTTCTGACAGTCAACTAGACATACCAGTGATGCAGTTAATACCTTGAGGTGCTGAAGATAAACACATTTTGTGTAATAAAGAAATCCGAAGAGGGAATCCAAACCGTCGTTATTCCATCCTCCTGTGGTCTTCATGTTACTTGAATTAATTGCTATGCCTGTACAATGATAAAGCTCTTACATTTTGCGTTGGTTGCTTTGGATTGTTGAGTTCATACTGAAGCTTCTTCTTGCTTGAAAATGTTTTAAATTATTCCGATACTGGAAATTTGAAATATATCGTTTTCCTTTTTTGGTCAGGTATGCTGCACTGGGTTGTAAAATTTTTTTAAAAAATGTCGCTGGTAACGTAGAACATTGGTGATATCCAACAACCGTATTAAGATGAGATTCCATTCTCCTACATCACCACAGTTATTCCATTTAGGTGCATGGTGCGAGCTCACCGACGTGTGGACATCTCTCATTGTTTTCTAGCCTGTCTTCAATACGTTACTTTCCCTCATGAGTGTTTATTGTCTCATTGTCTTAATAGACAAGTTCATTGCTTCTTTTACTGAATCGACTAACATTCATGGTCGCTTTCACCGTTGACCGCTCCCAAGGAACCGATCTTCCACAAAGTTTGCAAAAACATTATGAATTTTGTACGGTCCAGTTCGCGATCCTTCTTACGTGTTGTTATCTGCTACGAAAGGCCAGCCAAACAACCTTTTTCCCGACGTATCTTCTATTGTAGTGTATATGTGTGTATACCTTCGACTCATTTCTATCCTTCATCCTCATCGTCCGCATGACATCAGTCTTCCACACCGATACTTCACTGCCGTACAGTCATGAATTATTTGAAAACCTTTTTGTGAAGAAAAGAACAAAGGTGGACGAGGAAGGGACTCATTGCTAACTTACTACAATCACTTCGAGGTGCTTACATTTCCAGACACTCATTCGACAATCTGGATAGTAACTGACAATCAGAGCGCCACTGACATCGGTTGACAGCCATATCTTGTAGTGTCTCCAACCAGGCACAGTGAGGATCACGCGGTCCCCACCCTGGAAGGCGAGTAGCACCGACGGCACCCAAGCGTTTCGTGATCTCCTTCATACTCCTCCCCCATGTCAAGGGTTGGCCACCCCTCTGTTTACGCCACTCTGAGTTGGGCATGGAAAACAGCACTCTCTTCGACAAACAATGGTTCGGCATACTCAGTACATGTCCCAACCAACGTGGCTTCTGGCGCTGGATGCATTCTTCAATGAAATTATCCTTTGCACAACCGAAAACTTGCTTTCTAATTGCCTCATTACGGATACGCCGACACCAACCCACACAAGCTATGGTTCTGAGAGAGCGATTGTCGAATACCTGAAGACGTCTCAGTTCCGCCGCTCAAACAGACCAAGTCTCACAGCCACACAGTAAAACAGCCCGCACTGTTGCTTGATACACACGTCCCTTGAGATTCACAGGTCCACTATTCCGACGCCATAGGTGTCTCAGGTTAGCAAATGCGACCCGAGCCTTGCAGATTCGTGCATTCACCCCATCTGTCACGCTACAATCAGGAATAATACAACTTCCAAGATTGGTAAAACGCTCCACAACTTCCAGTACCTCTCCCTAGATTGTAATGGCGTTTTCAGTTGCTGCACTTCCAAGAACATGACCTTTGCATGTGCACTACGTGCATACACTACATATATTTTCTGTCCAAATTCTTCGAACTGTTCCAGTTGTCATTCAAAAGCAACAGCATCCCAGCGAAAATAACACTTTCAATATCTAATCATCTGGCTCCGGTCGATCAAAGCTTGAGGTAAACGTCAAATTCTACAAAATCAGTAATCAGTGCCGAAATCCAGGCCTGATAAGGCTGGTGAAAATTTTTTGGATCTCAGTCGATAAAGTGATTGTTCGATCAGGCCAGACTCAGTTTTTGTACCAAACGTTTTTGTACACAAAGCTGGGAAACATATATTCGAACCTTGGTTGGTTTGACAGAGGAAAGAAGTTTGTCTCTTAGGAATCTTTGTATTCCATTCGCACAGTATAAAGTGGCGTAAAACAGTTCATACCTTTATCTGGTGTCCAGTGTTCGGACGATGGGTTAAAGCAGAAATAATTCGGTCATGTCGTCTACTGTGCATCGCATAGGGTACATGTTCAAAGAATCACCTCGTTTTTCGATCAGCGTAGCTGCCCCATAGGAGCAGCCAAGCTCAGAAGAAATCGTTTCCAGTCCAAATCATTCTTGCGTGAAACGTTAGCATCTCCTAATCTTCACCTGCGGTAGATATTTGCCCCGTTCCGTTTGGCTCTGCCACAACGTTCCAAGGAATATTCCAGCAGGCTTTAGGTGACTATAACTTCTATATTTTGTAACTCTTTCTCTGTGTAACCCCAGCTATTTGTCCAAATTCCTCTACTACGTGCTGCTGTGGGTCTACACTATTTTTTCCAAGCCAGTACACATCGTTGTCATTGCTCACGCTCGTCACCGACACTTTTTTAAATTCGCCCCGACGATGCTGAGTCATTGGTGTTCACCTAGACCTCCAATAAGACGGCACGCTGCACGGATTGTTATGAATATTACTTTATTTTTCCTGTTGACTTATTCTGCCCAGGGGTCCGCGGTAGACAGAGAGGCAAATGAAAAAGAAAAGGTAAGAATTTCCTACTGGCATCTTATTACCACAAAAGTTTCAGCGTTGACTGTGTGCCTTGTATTGTTCAGCTTCTCCTTGCTTTTTAAGCGCCATACTAGCACCTGTCTGTTGTGTACATATTGTGCATATTGTGGCTATGTTGTTGCCTCTTTAATCGATGTAGATCTCTGGGCGTGTACTTGCACGTCAGTTTTTTTTGTGTGCCATGTGCATGTTCGTTGTCATTTATCTGTCATTTGCCCGTGTAATTTGCTTTCAAACCGCGGACAAATTTACACACTGATACAACCCTGGTTTCGCAATCTTTCCTGGACTTCGCCACATCCGGACGGTTGTTGCTGTGGCCTCAGACTACCGCTGTGGTCCGAATCTGAGCAACAGCTTCATAACCAAGAATGCATGAGATCGTTTCGTGCTCTAACAAACTAACCGGCTTTGTTGTGTGTTGCTGCTGCTTTCCCACTGTTGCTAGATAAATTGTGTGATGGGCTGAGTTTGTTCTTGTGTCTCCACATTAATACCGCTCGCTTCTGAAGTCCACAAAACTTATAGTTGTATGTGTGAAACACTGAGAATGGACCAAATGGCTGTTCTGCTCCTGAAAAACTGAGACAGACTGTAGATTGTGAATGAAATATCTTTGGTTCACTACATGCAACAGTCACTCGAATTTCGCCTTGCACAGCTAAACAGGGATGCGTTTCCTGCCTGGGTCTGAGTGGTTTATTTTCACCAAATGAATCCATTGTTTCTACTTCCCCTAGCCTATGGTCGCTTGGCCTTGTCATGCATGATGGAAAGCTCATTGTAAGGCCCCGTATGTACTAGAAAATTATAAACTCCTTTAACGTGCTTGTCAGCCCGCAAATTGAGAACGTAACTTGCTTGAGCTCAAGGCTTGATGGCCTGTTGGAGTGCACAAGTTAGCTACTGTTACCTGCAACCGGGGAAAGCCACGGGAAAGTCACACAGAAACTGACGTAAAATGTTCTCACACTTTTTCAGCTTATTTTTCCGTCGGTTCATTAGGTCAAAGCGGGCTACATTTCGTTTACTTTTTTTCTGATATTGTGAGTAGTTAATGAAATTCGTATCCATGATCTCCCGATTGGCAGTTGTGAGATCAAGTGCCATTCATCCTTCATTCATGCGGTCTCGTGTTCACTGGTTCCTCTAATACCATTGATCTGAAAGACGTTTGAACCGGTCTGACTGATCCAATGTGCACAAAAAATAGACCAAAATCCGGACGTTCCCATCACTGATGTTTGTCTATCAGCTGCTGGTCTGTTGCCGCTCCTCTACCCGCACTACGGTTGCCCACGGAAGCACTGCTCGCCTGTCGTCTGTATTACTATTAGGCTGACAAACGGTAGCTTTCTGCTGATGCGTTCGAGCAAGCGCAACCAAAGTGTGAAGCACTACCAATCACACGCTCTTTCTGATTTTCTTTGCACTTTTCGGCTCAGAACACTCCAGTTTTCAGAACGTTTCTTCTACGACTGCTGTTTCTGTAGTTAACGAGCAATTTTGAATTGCTTTGTATAAAACTCTGATGTCGTGTTATGTGCAGAAACGGAGCGAATTCCTATGAAGTTCAGCCTAAACTACTTGCGGAAATCAAACCATTCATAGTGTGCGACATCCGCCACCAACAGCTAGCCTTTTTATATATTTCTCGCGTATCCATCATTCATTTTTCCCTCCATATGTATACTATGATTATGCCTCGAATGTCTTTGGACTGGCTTGTATAGGCTTCTGTGTGCAGGCCAGGCTGACCTTCAATCATCATCCGAGTAAAAAGCAATGGCCGCTTCAATTAGGCAGAACAGATCGAGCCGTTGCCATGCGGAACTATCATTTTTTTCTTGCACCTGTCTACAGAAAACAGTTGAGTGAAAAAAGCGGATAGTTTAATACCGAATGTAATCTTTCCATCCTGACTGATCACGTGACGTTCGTTTTCACCATATAGATGAAATCTGAAACTGTAAAATATCGTCGGTTATTCCTCAAGCTACCGGTAGACCTTGCTCAACACAGTTAGCCATTAAGATAAACTACAGGGTCTATTCCTTACTTGAAATACCTGTAATGTAGTTATTTCCGGCCATCAGTGGCTTTCCATCCGCATTGCAGAAGCATCGTTATTTTCTCGGTTTCTCACCTAAAGAGGTTAGAGAGATTATTGTTCAATAAAGTTTTAAACCAAGCACAATTACCCCGTCGCTTATTTCGCCTGGTGAGCCGAGGTAGCTCAATGGCTAAAGCGCGAAATTACTGACCGGGAGGTACGTGTTTCGAATCCAACCTCCGCATCTCTACCCCTGCTTGGCTTGGGAAACCAGACAGTATCTCAACCTCCGTGCTTCTTTGGAGTGGCATGGCAGCTAGGCACCGTAAGGGTGTTAAGGATGAGTGATTTTGCTGTTTTTACTTATCCATGCGTGCAACCACGTTTAATTTCTCGTTCCGTGAGGGATAACAAGGTTTCGCATAGTGATATTCCACTCAGCTGGACTGTCATTTTGCTCGTTTTGAGAGTATAACTAATGAAAGTCACCTGATGTGATCCTGAAGCTTATGTGGTTGGATTCTTGAGGGCAGTACAGTGCGACGCATCGATTAAATCATGAGGGGGCTCCAATAGCGGTCTACACTCTCAGCACGCCGCATGGTCTTTTACATGTTCTGGCTTAGAATTGGTTCAGACAGCTGAAGTTACCCTGGAAAGTCATACCAGGAACAAATGCAACTAACCAACCTTGTTTCCAGCTACTAGTCATCCAATATATCACAAATTCATGCTATGCTGGTCAGAAATCGTGGTATTCAATATTCTAGTTCGGATTGTTCTGATAAAGCCAGGTGACTGTGTCGATCCTCGTGTGCTGCAAACGTTTAACGATTATCATAGTACTAGTACGTTCAATCGTAGCCAACGGGTGTTTGATTGGGGATCGGCCTTTGCTTCTGCCTATGGGAAAGTATTCATCTGCTTGGCTGAGAAAACATGGAATTCCTTTTCCACAGTAATCAATACTCGGTTGTACTAGATTAAAGGTAGTATTTAATTCTATTTCCGTATTGCTGAACGCAGCGCCTCGACTGCTTCTGTGCAGCTTGTTTACACGTCTGCTTTGTGCATTTCAGATAAATTTGAAAAGATCATTTTTTCAGAGGCGGTTATTTCTTGCTCCATTTCCCTCTCGGATGAGTGAAGTTGGAATAGTCTGTTGCTCACATGTTTGGGATAACATGAGCACATTTAAAACCTACCACGAAATAGAAGTGAGAGGATTCTACATTATAACTGAATCAATTCAGATGAAATAATAATGTTTCTCTACCCTCCTTGTGGAATCTTCAGTATTCTTTGTCTGCGATTAACGCTCGGTCTTTCCGTGCTCCGCTTTTTCTGAAAACAAATGAATTTCGTCCGTATTATCTTCCATTCCTTCTTGTTAATAAACAAATACTAATTCGGTGGAATTTATCTCACCCGTCCAATCTGTCTAAAGCTAACCATTTCGATAGCTTCCATCCTTCAACCTAAACTAGTTTATTCCAGTCTACTTTGGTCTCCCGAAACTCAGCATTAGTCTCTAATTCTTTATCACCTGTATAAGCTGAACTTGCCAGTTCGACCGATCCATTCAATAGGAGATTGTTGTGTTTGCTAGATTTTTTTCAACTGTGTGCTGTTAATGTCGTCTTGTTAGTTGGTGGTTCACCCCGTCTCTATGTTCTTTCTGGGTATCGGTGTTGTATCAGATTTCTCACCGCTTGTTAGTTTTGTTAGTGCTTATTGAAAACCTAGATTCCCCATTGGAGGAAAGCATCAGAGCGGGTTTCTTTTCTCGGCAAATATTCAAACCTGGTCTGAAATTTGATCTGTGGTACGGGTAACGATGCCGTATTGCTTAGTGCACCTCTGTCTCTCCACTTCCCCTGTCTAGGCTTGGGTAACCCGGCAGTATCCCAGCCCTTGTGCTTCCTTTGGGGGCATGGCAGCTGCGCACCGAAAGGGTGTCACAGCGGAACGATAATTATTTATTATTGTGCATCTGACTGAAATTAATGGTAACCAGGTTGCTACTATGTTAGCTCACCATTGTCCATCATTTACTTCAGTTCTGTATTTTCGGTGCTTGGTGAAAACGAGCTGTTCGGGTTATTTGGTTTTTACTACTTTTAAACATAGTACATTTGCTCGGAAGCCATGCGACCGCTGTCTGGTTTACGGCGGGCGTACTTCGATATCACGTAGTAGTCCTGCTTAAGAAAAGTCTCCAGGAACCGAATCCCATCTGGGAGTCAACGGGTGCTGTCGTTACAAGTTACTTCGGAAACCCTATGCGTATCCTTGAAACGAAAACTTAGGAATTTGCCGACTAGTTACGGACTCTGTATGTTGGGTCCATGAAAGCGGCAGTCAGCTACCTTCATCTAGTGGTTGACTTCTTGGTCACCGTAAACTAGCTTAACCTTAAGGTGACAACCAATAAGGTCACTGCATATCGTTGATGAAAACTTTAATAACGCTCATGATGCGCCGGAAAGTAGCTTAATGACCCGGATGTGATTGGTGGGATGGAGAAAAATGCCACTGTGCTGTGCAACGTTGTTTATCGAGACGCTACATCCATCTAGGCCAGAAGATAGATTTGGTGAGCTTGAAGATGTTACCAAGGCAGTCTTGGCGAGTTATCACATCAGGCTGCTGTTCGGTTAGTTAATGCCGTACCTCATTTCATATGGGTCATTTCAGGTTGGAATGAATGACCATGATATGTTGGTTAACAATGATTGTGAAGTCACGCTAGAGTGATTGTCGACAGAATGTGCCGTAGGTTGGATAATCGATATTCAGTGATTGCCGAAGTAATCAATGACCGCTGGTAAATTTTTGACGTATGACTCATTTATGGATTGCCAAGTTGAATGACCTGTCAGTACAGGCCGACTAAATTGATCATATCAGTGGTTGCTGCAGCATCGGTGCCAGTTGAGAGTATAGCACTTGCGCTGGTAATGATTTTATCTGTTTCATGTAAGCGTACGACGGTGTTCAGCGAAACATTCCTTACATGAATTTAGCGTTTCCTAATATGTTGGCGTCAGTTAAACTGGCTGGCCAAATAAGACAAAGAATGTAGTATAGACGTGCGGGATCTGCCCGCATCTCGACGAACATCCTCGCGATGAACCATTTTTCTCTCACTTCTTGGTGAGAGAATCATGGCACGTCTGCATGACACTTGTTGGCGGTGGGTTTTCACTTCTTGCGGATGTTCAAAACTTACTACCGTTCGTAGTGTTTAGATCCTTTGTTCCCTTGAAGTACGAATGGCACTAGTTCTGGTCCAGTTTGGTTTTCGTCCTCACAAACGCCCTCTTCCAGTACAGCATCCTCCTCAGTACTCCATTCACTTTAGAGTAAAACTGGTTCCAAATCTTCCACGCCGCACTTGACAAAGGGGCATATTTTTCCGCTTCCAACGGAAAAAGGTGAAATGCGATGTTAGGATGTCTTTCTGGCTAACTTCATATGTTTTCGCGAAGTTTGGACATATTCCGAAATAACTCGGTGATTGAGGTGCAAATTCACTGACCAGCGCTCCGCCGTTCGAACCTAACCCCGGTATCTTGGCTGTTCCCGTGTAGGCTTAAGCAACATGACAGTATCGTATATCTCGTGCTCCCTGCAGGGGGTATTGTGGCTATGCACCGAAGTTGAACGATTATTGTCACTCATTAGGTTTGGAACGAAAATAATCGGGTAGCCATCGATACGCCTTTTAAACGAAGCTGTATAACCCATCGGTACCTTCTAGATAGGTCAAAGAAACTATCGTTCTGCATTCTGGAGCTTCGTCGTCAAAATCAGGTGAAAGTCACAATTATCTGAACAGCTTGTTCACTTTGTAGAAACCCAACAATGTCCTACGTCTACGATGCATGTAACAGTGTGATTTCGTCTTCGCACTTCCCGCATATGCTTTTGATTTCATTTCCTGTTCTCGAGCCGTAGTCTTGATATCTCGTCTGCGTGATCCGTACTTATAACTCCCGAAGTTATGGAGTAATTAGCCACTGTATACACTTCAACCCCTATCCTAGTATTCATAAGAACCTCGCTACAGTGGCGGCATTGCATTCTTTCTGGACGAGGTGTAGCGAGAAAGTACCTCAAGCACTTGACAAATCCTTCAACGTGTTTATCGGTCCACGAGTGCTCTGCCCCGTTAATTCTGATTTCCTATTCTTGCTTTTCGGTACACTGTCGGAATCGATACTACAATGCACTCACGTTTTGAATCGATCATGCACTGAGCTCTAGAAACAAGAAAGGCACTACTTTCAGCGGCACTTCTGGCAATCAAAATAGTTGTTTTCACTTTCATTTGGACGCTGGACTCAAAACCATGCAAATCCCTCGATGTGGTTTGAAACTCCATATCATGAGTAGACAAATTTGCAAATTTTAGCAGAATATAACAAAAAATTCACCTTGGGTTAAAATGGACTCGAGATTGCCACTTTCCTCTGTGCGCGACATCCGAATCTCCCAAATTTCAGCTACGTGACACTTCGAAAATGACCCGAACATCAATAACCGGTCGCTATTCGCTCCAGTCAGTCTTGGGCAGAATTTGTGGAAATAAAACGGCTGATGATAAGACTACTTTAACGAATTCATCACGAATTCGTTAGGTCTCGGTAAAAACGGAACTGTAGCATCCCACGACTTGCACGACTGACTGCCCATTGTCCGCCCTTCAAATGCTGTGTGTACGACTTCACAGGCTCTGGTGAACTTTTAGCCCTATACGGTTTCATCACAGGACGTTTACCTTACGTATGTTCTTTTGGTCCTTCCCGGCGCAGCCTTCTTCAGAATCACTGCTTTTTCTGCATTTTTCCGGTTACAACCTGGCGAGGTTGGTAGGATGGAAACCGATCATTGAAAGATTGAATAACCTCTGACAGCATTATTGAACTCACAGTCAGCAACGTTGTCGGATGTCCCTTGAAATTTTCTCTCAATTACAGTACCCTTCTCGTGATATCTCGAAAAGCTAAGCGATTTGGGTCGCATTGACTTGCTGGTCATGTTGTAGACAGGCGAACAGCCTGGTGCACATGAGTGCAGCGCTCAGCAAACAGGATCCTTTTGGAGCGGGAGGTCGGGTCGATACAGAGAATGTCTTTGGATAACATCAAACCAACTCGTTGGTAGTGTAATTCATTCTCACCGTACACTTTCTGGCGTCAAGCTAGGCGGAAATGAGGGCGTAGCGCACATTCGCGTGTGCTGCTCACAGGGGATAGTGGTGACTGTACTGTACATGCCGGAGGTGAATTGTTTTGCAGGAACTCTGGGAAGGGTCAAACAGATTGATTTCCCATTCGTAAGAGGAGTTACTAACACCGCATGTTTAAAACTAGCAAAGAATACACAATTTAAGAGGTAGCATTCTGTCGAGCAAATAGTCCCCTAACCCATGGATTGCATGAATATGCCATATAGCTATTTAAGAGCAATTGCCGGGACGTCACTAACTCTGGAGCTATACAAATGTAAGTGTTTAAAAATCACCATGAGTTGCTAGCTAGACTTGTCAATTTTGAGCTGTTATTTCGTTAAAACACAGACGTTGCTATTCGGATGGCTCTAAACCCTTTGGGGGTGTGCGACATGAATCTAGCATACCTGAACACCGTGTCACCCTAGCTGGTCAGTTAATAAGATGTGGGTAGTTCTAGACTATGACTACTGTCCATTCCAAAAGTATTCGACTGTCGTCTTAGTTCAGTCCCCTGAACGTCACTTCGAGTTCCAGCTGTGTGTAAGAAGTTGGAGTGTTGCCGTGGCCCGCTCATGATCCGTGTCTACCTGGTTCATTTTATATCGATGAACCAAGCGCCAATCGGGACGAGGAACTAGACGCAAATGGTGCTTAAATGGTGCACTGGTAAAAGTTACATTTTGACCGAACGTGTTCGTTCAACTCAGACCGAATTTGTTCAGAATCGTTACTCGTCCGCAATGCTTGTTATAGGATCCCAACGTCACCTAACTAGACAACGGACACCATGGTTTTAACTGGCACTTTGGATGTTGCATCGATCCCAGTTCTTCAGTCCATTCCGCCAACTTGTTCACAGCGAATACAAAGGGTTTGCGCATTTTGTCGTACCTTTAGGAATAACAATCATTGTCAGCAGGAAGGAGAGAACCGGGAGTTTGTGATTGCATCAGCAAGCGCTCTCATGAGATAAGTGCCAAGTTCCACAGCTAGTTGTTTTGACAAATTAGGAAAATAGGAAAACTGAAACAAACCTGTTGCTGGAGTAAACAACCCTAGATACATTAGAGTGTTTGATAATTTTTCACAGCAAATGTGACTCAATCCTATCTTATGGAAAATTCGCTGAACGCTTGAACGATTTCAGTTCTCCTATTTGGTGCTCTATTTAGAAGAGGAATCACTGTACCAGGACAGGTGTCATCGTACGCCCCACTGAGTACCTCAGAGCAACGAATGCTCTCAAAGGTCGAATCCCCGCATTGAAGTCAACACAATAGAATACCCATTAATGTCTCCTCAGAGGTTGACGGAACGTTTGTAAACCGTTTGTTAAGCTCTGTGAACAGGTCAACAACTGATAGACCCACCTATCAATATATGAAAACACCGCCTAAGAAGCACACTATAAACTCCCATCACTAGATTTTTGTTCTGCCTTGCTGCACCCACCGCGGTAGCCGTCCTCATTCTTCACACATTTTCACCCGCTAAGCTGCTGGACTACTTTGTGCACCATTTCGCCCTCACTACTGTCCATCTCAAACCCGTGCTACTGTCCCGTTTTAAGATTGATATTTTCATCAGTTTATTGTTCGTGTCCTCTAGGCGAAACCATTACCTACCTTGAAGGATAATGATTTCTTGAACGAAATATGTAAAATCTACATTGGAGAAGAAGCTAAGTCAAAGCTTCTCAGTCGACTGGAGTCCGATGTTCAGGTGAGTTAATTTTCCCATCTCTGTGTCTATTTTGTGTAACTTCAGGCCTTGAGAACCATTCAACCGGTTGATTATATTCCCACTCTCGAGCTGTTATTTTTGCAAGGAGATTTGGTTTCACGGCTGGCCACCATGTTCGTGTTCAATAGATTGATTTACTAATACAGTCGTGCGATGTTTCCAGGCACAGCTTCGCTGTTCCCCTTTTGAGAAGATTCTGTGTCACCTTTGACCGTTTGGGTTTTATGTGGAACGTGTGCCACTAAGGCATTATACAACTTGATGTGGTTTATCCGCCATTCTTCTAATAACTTAGATTCGCATGATGATCTGAAAAGGCTTGGCTTCCGTTTGGTTCCCAGTGTCTACTTGGGTAGGCGCATTGTTTTACATTACGCTTCCTCATGACTTCTTATCCTTTAGTTCCTACAAGAAAATAACCTCATGGATTACAGTCTTCTAATTGGAATCCATGAAGTTGATCGTGCCTCTGAAGCTGCTGCATCTTCGGATGAAGCAGGTGGCACCGACCAGGATGGGGCAGTAGATGACCGTACCGCGTCTGCTGGCGACGGTCTCGGCTCGCTTACGTCTCAGTGGCATCTTCGGAGGCTCTCCACCGGTCGGCGCAGTGTGGACCCTTGTGTTGTGGCATTGGCAGGAAGCCAAACGGGTGACTACCGCAGCGCTGGTGATGAGGATGATGACGACGAGGGTGGCGTATTTTCGGATCCTGGAGTCCCAATCCCTGGTGCCATAGGTAAGTTTTCTCTAAAATATCCAGGTGTTGCGTGTGGTTGAGTGCGTTCTGTTATCGCATTGGGCTCTTGGTTAGCTAGTAACCTTCATCAAGAGGTAGTAGATTGTTCCAACGGCAGCTAGTTTTCGTCATCTTCACTTGGGCGAGTTTCTGAGAACATCACGTTTTGTCTCAATTATTCCAACTGAGAACCTCAGAATTTGTTTAGAGACTACCGCAATCGGAGCTCAATTTCGACAAGAGAGAGCTAATCCTAGCGGTCTATCCGCCCAACAACAACAAAACCTTTCAAACATTACTCGGACTGCAGCTATGGTTGTTCGTAGAGGTCTAAACCGCAAGTTCTGGTCACGAGCGCAGTGCATTTCTAATGCCATATCTCTCCTCTCCGACTCAGCCATTGGTGTACCGTAGGTGAATGCCGTAGATGAATGCACAGAGTTCTGTAAACGGCTTGTTTTGCCCCTTCGACGAATGGCAGTGTTTGGTGAGTTCTGCTTAGATGACTGACTGCGTTACTCCTGGCACAAGCAGTATCCTGTGCCAGTGTATTGTGAAAGCTAAGTTGGCAAAACCGCGTCATCTTTAGAGGCGATGGGATATTTACCTCTCTCTGAGAAGTAATTCACTACTATAAGAGCGTATTGCTTTGTGGATGTGTAACCTATCGTTTTCGCAGTAAAATTCCCGGAAGTTAACAGCGTTCGGTAATCGCGTTGCTGACAGTTAGAGGGACTCACTCTTACGTCAGAGTATGTTGAGTTTTTTGGTCAGATGACTTTGCTATAGGAAATTTTGTTTTGCTGCATCAAGTGTTGCGGGTACCTCGGTCGGGGACTGAAGAAGAGAGGTGACTAGTCAAAGATCTAGCGAAAATATTCAAACTGAGAGAACCGATGCTGAAAAACTAACTTTTCAACTTGTTCTTGTTGGAGGTAGAAGGCTTTCCGCACGATCTGAATGACAGCATGAATTCCTGGGAAAGGGGAACCATCGCGTCATCAGCATCTTGTAGTGTTCAACCGCTTGTACGGCAGTGAAGCATCGGTGTTGAACACTGATGTCATGCTGTCGATGATGATGATGATGATGACCGCCTAGTTGCTGGCACTCAGGTGGAAAATGTTTCTGGGGAGAAGTTAGGAAGCACAGTTGTGGCTAGAAATGTCGTGAAGGGAATCAATCGGTCTATGGACTGTTTGTAAACTTCACCAGAGCCTTCATCCCACTCAGAAGAAAAACACCGTTGATCGTGCTGCAAAAGTATGAGTATCTAGACGCATCAAACCCTTTCACGCGGGAGTGAAAGTTCAGATACATAAGTGCGCAGCAATCTTGGCGGAGTTCGAATTCGACGCGGTAGTGGAGCACGGGTGCGTTCCTATCGCAGTCCTTTTATGCCTGCATTTACCAACTATTTAGCAGGGACACTGCACCACCGTGAGGCAGGTATATCTCACTATGGTTAGAACAGCGTGTGTTTTTGCATTCACATGGTGCTAAATTTGTTTGCGGCGCCCTTTCATGACTACTCTATATCGTGAATTTGATGGCCTAGTGACCGTAATTTTACTTGTCTAAGTGTCGGTGTGTTGACGTTCGTCAGTCTCTAATTAAGTTGGCACCTTGAGACTAGAGGTACTTTCGCTTTGTGCGCAACTGTCAGCCAGTGTACACCACCTGACTGTACTTATTAGTTTTCCGCCTTTTTTTATCGTCGACCAGTGTGTCGCAGTGTATACACGGACCTCTACGTGATTTAAGGCCACTCACTCTTAGTTTAAGTTTCATGTTGCCGTTCTGTGGCTTACTACCTTATCCGTTTTACGGTAGACCCCCCGGTTTCATTACAAATTTTAATGAATGCGGTATACATCACGTCACGCCTCTTTTCACGCTTCCATCAGGTTGTACCATACAGTAGTCCTATAGATGCAGCGTAAAACCTAACTGACTGCTACACTCGACACAATCTAGTTCGCCCACTCCAACAGACGTGCCTTGATAGCGATCCTCCATATAATTACAGCCGCAAACCTAGTGTCATCGTACTCATGGAGGACAGCACCAGAATGCTAAAGTGTCCTCAACGGACCATGTCTGAAACCATAGGGGAATGGCCAATGGGTTTTTCTAATGAGCTCTATGTGTGTTTTCAGGAGAGGTGTGTAACTATTTGGCCAAGTGTGAAGTATCTTGGAACTGACTTGTGGTGTGGGTCTCATAGGATTTTTTTAGTGTTTACGTCTACTACAGGGATGTCCTTTAGTCTGTACGAGCGAGGCAACGGTCCGTTTCCAGGATGAATGTGTTAGTTGAATCAGTTTCACATACGTGGGCTTGAGATTGTATAGTCCACGATTAAATGTCTCACTTAACGGAAGCAAATACAAATGCTAAGGTATTTTCGGCTGTTTTATATGCATGTCTTCTCGTGTGTTTAAAACTTCACAGACAGTACACTAGCCATCGATCACCTCATGAGACTCATCGATTTAATGGGACTTTCTACATATGTTGTATTCATGGCATTTATCTGAGCAGCAATATCAGAATTGTTCGGTTAGTTCAGTATGGCACTGAAGCATCGGTGTTGAACGCTGATGTCATGCTGTCGATGACGATGATGGAAGCATCGGGGTTGAAGCTGATGTCATGCTGTCGATGACGATGATGATGATGGTTGGTTCGGACAAACAGTCGCCAGCACGGCAAATTTCATGCTCTGTGCATACATACGCATTCTAGTTCATTTTGTGCTGTCCATCGAAGTCAAACATTCTTTCCAGAAGCATGGATTGATTCAACTTATGAGTGACTTACCCCCAGGCTCAAGTATCTGTTGCGCAGCTCACCAGCGGTGGTGTTTGAATTCTCAGATGTACACGTTTCACTGGAAATCGTCAATCTTTCGACAAGTTTTCTTACTCACGAATTGCAGATCGGGGAAAACTTCGATATTTCATAATTATTCATTTAAGTTTCGAAAGGAGCTCTGGAGCGAAACTGTCCAGATTAATTGTCTTGTTGTATGATGGCGTTCTGGATCACTTTGATGGCATACTGATCAACTTCCCGTCCATCCTCGGCAGCCCACAACGATGCTACAATTTTATCGGAGCAGTCAATAAAGTGAGGTTAGCTTCGATTTGGTGCATGACTTACGCCGATAACATTCATTTATTATTTATTGTGATGCAAGAAAATGAGTTCTTAAGCTGGCGTACACTCGATGCTGTGTCGTCTTTCCTGTGCCTTTATGGATACTTGTGTTTCCCGTCCATTTTGGCTAAGTCTACATCCACTTGTGGCCCTCTAGTAGCCCCAAGGTCATCTGGCTGATTTTAGCTGCAGATTCAGAAAGTATAAGCGGGAAAATTACAGCAGACTCATAACTAGACTGATTCGCGCTGGCGTCATTACATTAAATGAACGAGCGATTTTGTGGAGCAAACGTGGTGTTATTCTCGAGAGAGAAGTGATTCTCTTCTGCATAAAATCCTCCGGTTCATTTTGAGCGCACATGCTGCGTATTTTCTCACTCCAGGATATATGTCCGCATGCTTTCTGCCGGTTACCCATCCATGTCTCTTTATTGTTCGTCTGTAATGGTTGTCTACTGACTTTTGTTTTGACTGTTTTTCTTTCATTTCTTAATAGTCAGCCTCACTCCGCCTGAGAGTCCTCCAGACAACGCACCCTTCTCTTCGTTTTCCGTGGACCAACTTCATCCAAGTTTTGAGTATTACGGTATCACAAGCTCTTCAGGTAGGTGACTTTTTTTTATTGCATCCCGCATTAATTTCGACGAGTAATCCTGTTCTCCTGTGTTTTATTCGGGCACCAATAGAGTATACTTGGCAACCCGCCTTGTAGCGTCTGGTATGAGTCGCTTTGTCTCGCAGTTTAGGTCACTCCATCACGAAGCTAACGAACTCGCGAATATCGGCTTAAAAGCCTGTTGCCACGGAACTACTCTTTAACGTTTTTTTCTTTATATGGCGACGGTTAATCAAAATATGTAGTAGAAAAGTGTTTGTATATCTATCTGTAGCTTCTAGACTCCTTAATGTGGACCGCACATGATCGCACGGACATATAAACAATTTCTTTTTTGTGTGATTACAAAGAATTGAAGGACCTCATCATCCTAGAGTCATTCGTTGTCCGATTACACTGTATCCCCAGAAGCCTGTGTTTTACTTTGTGTGACACTTTCATGCGTTGAATAATACACAGTCATCAGCTCCATCAGATGACAATACTGGCGCTTCACTGCCATACAACCATGTCAGTCTATCTTCATAAGGCCTTTTAAAGGAAAGAAAAAGAAAAGGGAAAAGGTAGGCAACTTGGGGCTAGCATACCTCAAGCATCCACGATGCCCATACCTCTGACACATAGTCAGACAATGGATTGCAACCGACAGCATGAACACCCCCGATGTTGGTTGTCCACCATATCGTCCAGTGTCTCCAACTAAGCATAGGGTCCCGTAGACATTCTTAATGGCGTCATGTCATTCTGTGAACCTCTAGGTTACCGCCATTCCGAGTTAGGCACGGAGAACAGCATTCATCTCGACAAGGAATAACTAGGCATGCGTAACACATGGCCTAGGCACCTTATCTTGCAGTACTGGATGCATATCTTGAGTGAAATAGCGTTTTCGTAACCGAAACCCAACTCCTAATCATCTCATTTCGCATTCGCTTGGTCCAACCGATTCTGACCATAGTTCTGATCCTCCGCTTGAATTGGTCAAGCCTCGCAGCCATACAACGATACAACCTGTACTGTAATCTGATAGGCGCATCCTTTGGAACTCTGTTGTATTTCTTTTTGATGCCATTTGGCAAAAGCAAAACTGGCCTGTGAGATTTGTGCGTTGACTTCGTCTATTACATTACCGTCGGAGTAGGTACCATTTCCAAGGTACATAAAGGGTTGGACAATTTCCAGTGTCTTTCCTTGAATTCTTGTGGGCATGTTCAAAGACTGTACATCCCGCAGAATGACTGCATGTTTTGAAAATAGGTACCACCATTAACTCACTCTAGTTGGTTGGAGCAGTCTTTTTCGGAAAATAAGTTTGACAAGCACTTAATGAACATGTCGTCTTTGGAGAGTTGGTCAGGAGAGTCAGCTGGATGACGCTTGAGAGCGGAAAGTTATTCGCTTATCGACGAAGCCGTCAGTTATTCCGATTTTGCTGTCCAGGACTGCATTGCGGGTCGGGAATTCGGCTGAGCAACTGCAGATGGCTAATTGAATTGGTGTTTAAAGTATTCAAGCAAAGGTTTTAGGCGCTCTCTTTTTTACAAGTAAGCGAGCCGTTGTTATCGTTGTTGTTGTGATCAGAGGCCTCTCTAGGCCCGTTGCACGTACCAGCTTAAACACATCCCCAGAGTATCTCGCCTCCTCTATCTCTTCAGCTTTCTAGATTCACTAGGTTTTGGTTCCGCTCGGATGCTTTTCGCCTGAAAACCGACAGTTCGTGCAGGGCTGTCGTACTTCCAACCAGGAGGAATTTATCCGAGCTTCTAGCAATTTGATGGTCCTCAAGCCCAGTGGCTTGGTCTGCTTATTTGAATTATTTCGAAAGCAGGTGTCTTGCTTCTTTGAGTCTTGTGTACAGTACCTTCCCCTAGTACTCAATATCACATGATATAGCACCCGAAAGGGACTTTTGTAGGTGGTTCTGGTAGACTTTTTACAGGAGGGCCCGGGAGCTTCTTAATTGCCAGGCTAGGTGTGAACGTCTTGTGCACAGTGAAAAGCAGCAACGAACAAGCGCGTGGTCCGAATCCACAATTGTTCCGGAACGATCGACAGTCAGTAATTGACCTGTGCCGCCCATAGCCAGTGGCGATGGGGTCTAGCTCTGTTGCAGATTTGGTCGCATAAGAAGCGCACCACGTGGTTGTTTCGGAAGTTAGTACTGTGTCTCTATTCCAGTCCAAGACGATCACCCAAATAAGCCTCAGCAGTCTTACGTCTGCCTACTTGGTCCAATTCTTTCGTGGCGATCCAATCTCTTGTTACCCGGAGAAATTACCCTACTCAGAGAGCAGAGCAACGACCATCTGGTCATCTAATCAACCCATAGAAAGTTGTTCAACGGCGTTCCAGATTAGCTTACTTAATTTGCCATTAACCTGCTCTTGGATACAGCGTCCCTTAAGGCAACAAAGTTTTCCTACTGACTACGACAACACTAATCGACCCACCATTTTCAACTGACAACTGAGCTGTTTTTGCTCAACCCAATAGCGTAGCTCATCAAAATCACGACTTAGGGCACATCATTCCTGACTTAAAATTATCACTTTCCAACTGACTGATATCACTGTTGAAGTTCATACACATCGCGATTCTCAAATGTGCTCGATACTCGATTGGACCAAAGAACTGGTCCTAGTGATACCTCCTCTCTCCGCACGTAACGAGAGTTGTATGCACGTTGTATGCATGTTGTTGCATGTCAAACTGGAGTTGGTGCGTCCTTACCTGAACGATTTCGCCAGGACAGGGGGACCATTGTTCAAGACGATTCACCCATTCTACAAATCCCTCAACGAACAAAAACTACGACAACTTATCCAGCAGGGTTCAAGCGTCTGTGGCGCTACCAGATTGAGGAGTCTAGATAAGCGAGCCAGTCGATCGACACGACCAAGGTATGTCACGGCGTCGTCGTTCGATGCGTCGGGCTTTCCGCTCGCATCAATCAAGTGCGAACATGCTCACGACTGGTATACCAGATGTGCGATGTTCAAATCCTGACACGGCCAAGGAAATGCACTGCTGATGAGCTCTTACAAGAGCTTCGCCCCTAAATGATTGCACCAAGACAGCAGGACTCTTGTTCAAAACGAGAGTCATGTGAGTGTGTATTCTACAAATCCCGCAACCACCAACAGCTAATCCGTCTTTGTTGTGATTTACGAAACCTGTCGGGCCACGTAACATGTGACTTGACATCACATCAAAGCCGGTTGGACCAGATTCTATCACATCCCGTCGCTTCTCATTAGCAATTCAGACTTGACCTCCGTGGAGTGCATGATTGACACCTAGATGATATTGATCTCAACAACACCAGGCGTTCAACTGACAACATATTACCATCAACTATACCACACTATCAAAATGTGATTTTTCAACGCCTGGATTAGTCTGATATTCTGGTCTTTGCTCACACTGAAGAGTACGTACACTTCCTGATTTGCCTTGGGACTAGCCTTCCGAAGAATCTACCGTAAGTTGAGTGTCTAAAATACGTTGGACCGCATGGCTTCATGTTTGGAATATCCCTTAGCTCAGAGACGATCCGAAATGTCGTATGTAACCTCTTGTCACACGTCGCGTGCCCAGAAATATTCGGAAAAACTTGAGGTTCTCGGTAGGCCGAAGGATGACGCAGCTTTCAAAGAAAATACGAGCGTTCTAAAACAACCATATATTTTATTCTTTGTCGAATACCGTCCAGTACATTTAGAGGGGGATTAACGTTGGGCCGAAGTTTGTGGTCACGGCATTTACGAGTGTGTTGATCGGTTTATTCAAGCTGCTACGCTATTTAGCCCCCCAGTCAGAGTTCATTCTATTTATGCAAATCCAATCTCCTTGTTTATGTATAATCACGCCACGATTTAAGCTTTCCGTTGAGGAAAGCTATCACCTAATTGTCAGGCCTCCAAAAGTAGCTTTATAAGCAGATATAGTAGAATTTCAAGGGTAATAAGCAGGTATTTGGATATTTGTTCCAACTTCGACCAGCTAATGGAGACGCTTCCCACACGCTTCACCAGCCACTCACTGACTTCACCTCTGCAACATTTACTCATTCTGAACACGAATTTTTGCCGATTGGAACTTTCATTCACCGTAATTGTGTAATTTTTCACTTGGCTGGTTTTTTACCTACTCCCAATGCCCCGCGTAATAACCTCGCCTCTCGTATACTTGTGCACAGTGGGTACTTCAAGCAAATTTTTATGGATACCGAATTATTTTATCATTCACACGTAATACGGTTGTAAATTTACGCTGAAAATTCACCGTAGGGTACCTAAACTTCTACTGGACTTGATTTGACTCACCGTCTGAGCTTTGCTGTGTTCCAGGTTGTGTTCATCAGCGCATCTTGTACCGCGATTTGTGAATGACATTGACCATCTCACTATGACACTGTTTTCCCGATATATAAAAGAACAAAACTATAAGTTTTGCAGTCAGTTCCTGAACCGTATATGTCCGAGTATAAGATAGGGGCCAATTCACAGGCCTTAGGGGAATCAAGCTCGGATCGGCGAGACGCTAATTTACGGTTACCTGGCTTCATTTGTGTGCAGCGCGATCCTAGCGCCGCAGGGTGACTCACTAAACCCGCGCTCTGTATCAGTATGACTTTCAATATGTACTTGTTGCTTGTCATAGAAACGCCTGCTTGCCAAATTGACGTGCGCCAAGAGAGTACAAGAACTACTCGTTCTTCTGCAATCGTATATGACGTGAACGCCTTTAACCGCACGTATATTTCCGCGGTTCATCAAGTTACAACAAACTTGAATACGAAAGTTCGTTGCGTACCTTCGCTACTCTTTTCTTGCTACTCAACCTTTCATGCATTGCTGCGGTGGGTTGGTGCTTGAATAATGACCAGGAAATCATTTCAATATTTTCTGTGTCACCTAGGTTTTATCTGTTGCAGAGACAAATAGATGTGGCAAATTTGGTTTAATTCTGCGTCACAAACAATATTATCCGTTATTCGGTTACAGTGGTGTTCTCTTTTTTTCGAGAATCCAAAATTTCGCTTTACTGTACCAGCTGTGCCATACCAGAAACTGCACATACCCGTTTGAATCACACAGCTTTCCTCATTAACCTTCCATTCGTTCCTCAGGCGCACCTCGTCCAATGGTCTACTTTGTTGCCATCATCGACCTGTTGACCCGTTACGGTATGCGTAAGCGCACGGCTCAAACTTACAAGACGGTTAAGCACGGAACCAGTACTGAGGTTAGCTCGGTCAAGCCGGAAATGTACGGCAAACGTTTGTTGGATTTCATGTCACAATGCATCGACTGATCGATGTGGCTGACGGTTCAGTCATCCAGACCTCGGCTTTCCAATTCCAATCGGGGCACCTCCGGTCCAGCCGTAGTTTCATATCGCACAGTTTCGCATTTGCGTTCACCAGCTTTGTTCACACTTCCAGATCAGCGCCCCATGATCTTCATTGTCTATCTGTTCATCAGCGTTTATGCATCACTGCAACAGTGTAAAGCCTTTCATGGCTCATCATTCCTCTCGACACCGAATTTATCTTCTGCCCATTTGTGGTGAACCAGAATGATCCAAGTCAGTTTAACTTGTTTCTGTTACCAGTTTATTTCCTCCTATCATGCATACTGTTGGGCACCAGCGCCCTGGTTCTTCACACTCCATCAATATTGACTCCCGAAGAACATTTCTGTCTTTCTTTCGGTTTCTTCAGTTAACCCTTATGTGGAAGCTCGGTTCATATGTCTATCCGAATTCAGTCGAAAAAAAAATTTGCTCTGATCATTTTCCATTTTGGAGCTCGCTTCATATGCTTCTCCGAATTCAGTCAAAAATTTTTGCTCTGGTCATTCCCCATTGTTTCTCGGTCTGATAAACAAGGACGGAAAATCATCTGCTTATGTTTTTTTTGTGACTGCTGCCTGAACTAATGCAGGTCACCTTCAGTTATTTATCTCTGCAGCACAGTGTTCATTCTACCAGGTATCTTTTTTTCCGCTTGACTGCTTTGGTCCATCTTCTACTATGTCAGGGATACCACAACAGGTGATGAGTTTGTCCGGCGAGGTGTATTATTGTAAACAACTATGATTGCATATTCCGTATTGTATTATGCTTTTTCCAATGTGACTTCGAGAATCAATCAGGGTTTATTCGTACATGTGGGCTGACCCCATTTTTGGCGGATTACTTCTGCCAGTCGCTAGTTTACGGATCCAGTTGAGAAAAAGTCGTTTGTTGTCCTCATTTGAGGACCACTGGACCAATTTTATCAGCGCCTAGACGCAATCGCTTTCGTCAGTTGAAACGATCCAGATATGGTGTTCGGACCGTTCTAATAATGGATGTGTTTGCCGGGATCTTCATCCCTCATGGTATCAACCGGTTGGTCAAACTCCCGTTTGGAATCTTATGCTCCACATGGCTTCACGTGTCCTCTCTGAAACTGGACTTTGTGTAGCTTAGACCCGGCCATCATCCTAGTTGAAACCACGAGAGGCTCTAGAGCTCCATAGGATGTAATTGGATGTAATTCACAGGGGGCCAGTCATATGTGTAACATATTAGCTGTCCGATATTTTGAGCAGCTCATCAACTTATGCAGCTATTTGAAAGCAACAAGTTTGCTCGTGATAGCAGATAGCCGATGCTTAGAAAACGGCATGGTCATTCGATTGCACGTACACAGTTACCATGGTCTGGCTGTCTAGCACAAGGTAGCTTAGCATGCACGTGACTAAGCATGTGCCATTTCATAAAGGCTTTTATAGAAAAGTCTAATAACTTTGGGAATTCCAGTGAAATTGTACCTCGTGCTTCATAACCTTTCTGGGGTATCTCCATATTCGATTTCATATGTCTCTCCCCGCAAAGAAAGATGCGCACGACTGCTGTGACCACCGACACATGACAACCGCTAATCATGTTTTTGACGGGTGACTCAAATATATTCAGCTGATTCGTTCATAATGGCATTCTTCCACTGAATGTGCTGTTACGTCTAGACAGTTTATTCCTGTCCCGAATACCGTACCAACTTAAACACGAGTCGACCTGGTGCAGCAGTGAAGGAGTCCATTACAAGGGATAGGTGCGGCTGAATTCAGTTGAATCACTCGTCAGAATCAAATTCATGAGCAAATGAAAACAGTTGGCGAATTCCGTTCAATTTAGTTTCATGTAAAATATAGGGTTGGCGGGAACTCGGGAACGGTGCCTCTCTGACGAGGTCGAAACCGGTGATAGGCTGTCGAAGTTTTCAGCAACCTTACGAGTAGTGTGTTACGTCTAGGTTTCAGCTCTTCTACTGCACCGTTCACACACCAGAACACACAAAGCATTACGTGTGCGAATGGTCCAGCAAGCTCATGTGCTTGCATTCCGCTTTCAGTTGCTATTTGTCGGCAAAGGTGGTCCTTGAACATGGCAATGCGGGATTAAGTCAGACTTTGAACATGGTATGCCGATTCCAATACTAGGACTACGTTCATTTCACACAGTTGCTTTTGGTCACTGTTTCTTGGTCGTGCTTGCAAGTGACAATTTCCAATTAAGGCAAATTGCACCTAGTAATGCCCAAACATAGCCCACCATGGTTGTGTCCAACGGAGGTATCCTCCACTAGGAGTCCCCGAAGCGACCGAGCGCAACCTCACCGATTTAACGATACCGACTTCTGCTCCTTTATATTTTAATTTCTATTTTTTCCTTAGATATGTGGCTTTATGTACGGAACACGGTGTGATGTAGTAGATCAATTCTTGCCAGCTTTCTTTTTCAGCTGCATTCGGTTGTTGTCTCCCAGGCCTTCAGACCCCAAATCGGTCGTAGCTATCAGTAAATGACCGCAACTAGGAACAAAGGAGTGGAAGTAACCATGTATGAGTGATCACAAGTGGTTGATTGTCTGAGGAATAAATGATACAACAGTGAATAGACGAGAACACAAGTCAATTCGATAGTGCTAAGTATTCTCACAATGGTAATGAATTTTCGAAAGCTTCGACATGTTCCTGATGGACTAAAAGAGAGGCAATTGAGGTCAGAGTACGAGTCTAAACTTTTGAGCCCCATTTGGGCAGCACGGGGTCTTGGCAATGCCAGGAAAGTATCTCACCAGACTTTTTCCGCCAGGGGTCTGATTGCTTTAGTTAACAATGAAATTCGGTGAGGTGGGAAAATATGAAAGTAGATTAGGATGATTTTTGGTGTGAGCACATACGCAACATTTTGGCGCAAAATGTTTCATTCCACTCACAAAGATTTTGCAACTAAGAGCACTGTGGGGCCAATGGGCCCGCAATTCGATAGCGTACGATTTTGGATGTAGTTTGGTGACCAGATATTGTTTATAGCTTCATGTTTGGTTGATATTATACAACACATTCCTTCTACTTAGAATCACAGGAACATGTCACAGGCGATACAGCGGATGGCAGCCATACCATGTGTTAACCATGTGTTAACCTGTCGCGCTATCTGTTTAGGCTTAGCTGTTGAATATTCCACTCCTTGTTCTAAGTACACTCTTACTTATGTTGAGGTAGAATTTCAATGGGAAAAAGGAGTAAGGTGATTTAATTCAGGGGAAAACTGGAGGAGAAGAAGAACGGTAGAGAAATTAATGTTTCAAAAGTCATGGTGTACAGGCACTCAACAGGCGCCTCCCTACTGGTTCCGGGGTTGTTGGAGCTGTCTTATTCATCACTACTTTCGATGTCGCAGTAGTCAGATGGGTGACAGATTTCAAGGTGTGCCTACTTTCATGACATTATAGTAACGTAAATGGGAGGGACAAATACTGGCCTATAAGCAGGATCTCTCTTCAACTGTTTTACTTGTAATACAGACTGTATGCATTATCTACCACTTTTTCATTCAATTTTTATGGGACTCGTTGTGGGCAAAATCACTACCACGGTGTTCTCCACCCGAGAAAGCGCCTTTTGGGGGTGACCGATAGGAACAGTGTCGATTGCGTTTGCATTAAGGTAATGGAATTCCGTCTGTATCCGGGACTTTTCAACAGCTTACCTGATGGCGGGATACAATCTCCCAATAATATGAAGTGAATACTACATGCGTTCTTGTGTTCTTGGTTTGCACCTAATGGCCGCGAGCCTTTTCTCACTATCTTTTATTAGGAACTAGTATTTATTCATCTAGTTAAAATGTACACAAGGGGTTACTTCAAGCTTAATTCCTGTATAGCAATTGCACTCCAGACGTGTTGAGTCATCTTCCATCAATTCATCTGCACTTCAAATGTGTTAGTTTCAGTCGGTATCTCAATTGTGAATGGTGCTTTGCGATGATCGGAGACTAAGTTATCGGTTAATTTAAGACAGGCCTAGTTACGAAGTGTTCACACATTTGACGGCTCAATACGTAAGATTTTCTTTTGACACGAGCCATCTGAAAAAAATTTATATCGTTCAGCCTAAGCACACTTTCGGTGCCTAACTTTCCATGCCACCCGAAGGAAGCACGAGGGCTGGGATCCTGCCACTTTGCCCAAGCCTAGACATGGAAATCGAGGGGCAGAGGTCGGGTTCGAACCAAGGACCTTCCTGTCAGCTTGCAGCTAATTTGGAAACACTCATTCGCGCAGTGGGAATGCCACTTCGACTGACGATGAAATATTCGCTATCTAATTACCAAGCTCAATTAACCAATCAATGACTACCTGACCAATCTCCACCTGACGGTTTTTCTTCAACCCATTCATGATGCTGGCTTCTCAAAGAGAGGCTAGAAAACTTTTACTCACCGGTGACCAGTCCTCAGGACGATTGCTCTGAATGCGCTACTTACCTACGGTACAATATATATGCTCGCTGCAGTTGGCATACCAGCTTTGCATTAGAAAGGCACCACAGCCGAATTTCTTGATTTGATCTCTTTTTCAAGTACCCCACAGTTGGTGGTGAAGCGCAGATATAAGACACTGTATTGCTGTCAAATATATTGATATGTAAATCATCATTATTCGTTATCACTGTCCGCTTATCCAACTTATATCTCCCTATACACTAATGTACTCCAACTCATTGGGTCTAAGTGTTGATTATGCCAATCCCAAAATATTACGGTCAGCTACTGCTGAACCCATTCATAGATATTCTAAATCGACACTGCATTTGTGCATGTGATTATTGGATATTTTGGGGGCCCCAAAATTGGCAAAGCTCGACGAGGTTTGAGACACTCAAGTTTACACTCGAATAGACAGCATGATTGTAAGCAGTGGTATTCTGTCACCTAGTTCTGCTGATTCACTGAACCTACAATCAGCGCTGGAGACG